TTCCACTTTTCAAGATCTCTTTTTGTTTCTTGTAGTAATGTTTTGTAATTTTCTTGGAAAAGGTCCTTTGTACTTCTGGTTAAATTTATTCCCTATTATTTAATCTTGTGATCAGCTATTGTGAAAGCTATTGTTTCCATTAGTTCTGGCTCGTGACAGAAATTTTAGAACAATGCAAATACACAGTCTATAAGCCCCAGATCGTCTCCTATAACAGAATCTTATTATTAGTAACTATTCTGTTAATTGGAGCTTTGATGGCCCAGTAGGCATGGAGTTGCACTACCTGACCAGCCAAGGCAAGCAGTTCAAATTGACCAGCTTCTTTTTGGGTGAAAGATTGGTAGTCTCTTGTGTGATTTTTAGTCTCAGAAACCTGATGGACAATCATGACTTGGTTCTCACTTGACTGCAAACAGTTTTGTTTTTTTATTCTGTTTATTAACTATTTTTAATGAAGTTCTACCAATTTGAGTGTTTTCTTGTTTATGTTTTATGAGATAGTTTTTAATAGGGCTACGGAACATTATTTTTCTAATAAAGATATTGACACGATCTACGCAATTTTCTAGCAGATTTCAGATTTATAAATTGCTACTGTAGACCTCTGTCATTTCTTGATCGTCTCCTATTACTTCCTCTCTGAAATATCTTGAACCATTCTCTAATATTCATTGTGCAATGTGAATGATTGTTCACAGTTGCCTTGTTTTACACTCTCACTTCTTTAGCTCCTGTTTGACACCACTTCCCCTTCCTCATTTGGTTTTTCCCTTTCCCTTTGTCTTTTTTTACCTTTCTATAACAATCATTTTCTAACTTACAAAAATATATTTTCTCTGTAGCATTATTGTGATTAAAAATGGTAAGATATAAAAAAGTTGAAAGTTAGACTTTTTGTCAGGTATTTGCTTCATTACACTTGTCTACCATTTTATCATACATTTTGATACATTTAAAAGTAAATAGAATTTAGTAGTACACTTTACCATCTGATATTTTAGGCAAGGAAGCTCTGGTGACCTGGTGGGTAAGGAGTTACACTGCCAACCCCAAGGCAGGTGGTTCAAATCTTCCAGCTCTTCAGGCAACAGAAGGACGTTGTTGTCCCCTCTGAAAACCTGCTCAGGGTCAGCTATGAATTAGTTCTGACTTGACAGCAATGATTACTTTTGGTTGATTTCATGCACATTATTAATCAAGTTTATTATTTATTAGAAGTCCTCTCCATTTCTTTAAAAGTGTAATTTCCATTTTATTTCAGATGAGTTTTTTTTTCTTATTAAGCCTTTAAGGAATCTAATCCTTACCTGGGCTTTGTGGAGGTTGAGGGGTCGCATCTGCAGGTCTAATATGGATGGAGGTACTCTGTTCTCTGGGCTTCACAAGGACGTTCCTCACCACCTTGCTGTGAATGGTGCAGCTCACCTTATAGTGCAGTTGAGCATAGAGCTCTGGAAGCACATATGCTTTTGGAAGCACACTGGCAGTCTCTACTATATTTCGAATTAGGAACCTTGTAATTGCCTCATATTTGGGCACACAGCAGGCGGAGTTTGTGCAACAAATAGTCTGCATGTTGGCTTTGACTCCACTATTTTTTTCTTTGTCATCCTGGAAGGGAGGACCCAAGAGTTAAAGTCCCTTCTTTAAAGACAGAATTAATTATAGAGCTCAGCCATTGAGTATGCTAAAATGCATACAGATGTTACCTGTTCTCTTTTCTTCTCTGTCTCATCTATTTCATCTCTAGTTTCTTATTTTGTTCCTAATGCTTGCTTTGAGTTTAATTAGCTCTGCTTTTTCTAGTATCTATAGATAGAAGGTTAGATTACTTATTTGAGATCTTCTGTTTTTTTCCCTTTAAGTGTAGGTGTTTATAGGATAAATTTCCTCTTAAGCACTACTTTCATTGTATCCCGTAAGTTCTGGCATGTGTCCCCATTCATCTTGAAATACATTGTCATATCTTTGATCTTTAATAATTTGTGGTTTTTCTGGATTGTCTCAGATACAGCTCTGTGTGTTCTTCCACTCAATATCCTATTTACGCTGACTGATTCATTGAATAGTAAAACTCTCAAAAAACTCAAATTTAATGCTGTTGAGTCAGAACCAATTCATAACTGACCTGTCATTGGATTTCCAAAGTTGTTCATGGCACAGAAGGAGATTGGTGCTGGTAGATTTGAATAGCTAGAATGACGTAGCTTTTGAGTTAGCCATGACTCAGAGCCACCCTGTAAACAGTATTGCTTTATCCTGTCCTGTCTTCACATTTCCTGCGTTAATGCAGATCCTTTTTTGCAGTAATTTTGTCAATCCACTCTCATTGACTTTCTCTAGTGCTCTACATTTTTCAATATATTATCTTTTCCTGTGGACTTGTGCCAGTCCTTGGATTGAATGGTTGTAAAAGGAACAACGAGAATATGGGTATGGCCAAGCCTGCCTAATACCACAAAGGGGCGCTGTCCCTATCAACAAAATCCACAGTACCAAATATTGTAAAATAATTACATGGTTCTCCCTTTGCCTCCTTTTAATTACTGGGTCCAGTGTTCATTGTAAATTGACTCACAGATTTTACTTTACTGACACTTGTGGGATTTATTAGAGAAATAGGCTGGGGTGGGGTGGGGGAGGCAAAAGATATAATACAATGAAAATCCCCAAACAGGTTAATAATAAGACAATTCTGCAATTAATTTAGACAACTTCTTAGTTAACAAGTGCAAGTTCTGGTTCAGCAGGAAATCACTGGTTTCCTCAGTCATCCGCAAATTTTGTCTCATAGCAGTCTCAAGTCAGCTCTATCTTTAATCATTCAGCAAGCAGAACCTTTAACTGTGGCTTCGTCTTCAGGACTCAGTGAGGCTAACGCCTCATCACAATCTCTCTGCAGTTGGGTTAACTCTCATATGTTGGCCTTGCAGCTGTTGATGATGTTGAAGACACTCATCAAAAGGTGAACCGTGTGTCTACAATTGAGGTAGCTGAAGAACATGCCCCAGAGGGGGCTTGGGCAATGGCTAGAAAAAGAATTTTCCAAAAGTCCTAATGTGACAATGGTTTACTTTAAGTTTTGAATGTGTTTAAATTTTATAATTGAAGTTTTAATGTTAGGAAGGAATGAGCGTTAATAGTGATGTAAGACTGAAAAAAATTAATGGGTAAGGCATATTTTAAAATTTTTTTTCTAGAGTTAAGACTTGCAGAATTAAGGTATTGATATTAGGGGAAATGGTCAAGTCATTCATACAGGCTTTTTGCACTAGGAACATCAACAACATTGTGCTTTGACTCACAGAAAGTTGTCGTTACTTAGAACTTAAATGTGTAATTTGTACTGTCATCTTTCAAGAGTTTATCTTCTATTTTAATTTTCCCTTTTACTTCATCTCATGTGTTTGATTCTTTTCTAAATTGGTGAGGGAAATGATTGCCTGATGTGCAATTATGATTAGTTGAGGATATATAAAAGTCTCATAGAAATGAAATAGGTAGGATTAAGGTGAAATCAATAAATGTGGACCCCACACTGTAGAATCATCATCCTGAGTACAATGGAGCAGCATTGCAGCACTGGGCTGGGATGCAGGGTCTGGCCATTAAACTAGACAGCCCACCAAGGCAATCTGGAGCTTTATAATCAACTACTTACATGTTACTCATTGGAAAGCCCTGTGAAAAGTAGTTTTACAAAGCTTAAATTCTCCTCGTTTGCGATCATTTGAAATGGAACATGTATGAGCTGTGAATTCCTTCCTTGTATTTTTTAAGCTAAGGTCATTTGGTACTTTAAATGACTTTGCTTGCTTTTGGGGTAATATTAGTAAAGCACAGAGAATTCCTGCATGTCTTTCATTTAGTTTTCTTTGTTAACATCCTCCATAATCATAGTATGTAAGTTAAAAACAAAGAAACCAAATTGTTGCGTAACTTTTAACTCACTTTCCCAAAAGTGAGGTGTTGGATTTTTTGTGAGTTTTATTTTCACCTTTTTAGAGTTACTAGGGATTTGGATTTGCTCATGAGGTTGTCTTTAAAACTATTTTTCTATTGCTTCCTGTTACTCCACTTTGTTTTGGATTCCACAAGGAAAGAAAATGAAAATAAGCCACATGACTAGGGAAGATGAACGAGAAACTTAGGTCATTTGACTAGAGAAACGAGATCTTTGTGATGTTTAATTTGTTGCTTATTTATTTCATGAGAAGAGGTTGTATACATTTGAAGGACCTACATTTAGAGTCCTTTTCTTTGGATCAGATTTTCTATTATAGTAATGCTGCAGTGCTTGAAAGCCCTATTTATTTTTGTGTGTTTTCCAGGCAACCGCTGAACAGATGCGTCTTGCTCAAGTGATCTTTGATAAGAATGACTCAGACTTTGAAGCAAAAGTTAAACAGGTATGTTTTTGGCACATGTAACTATCTTTTTGCTACTTGTTTAGTTGAGATCTTAGTTTTAAAACATACTTTTATCCTCCAGCCAGTTTACTTGAGTGGTTTATTTTAAATTATTTGTTGTGATTTTTGTAGAAGTTTATAGAACAAATAACTTTAACATTCAGTAGTTCTCACTGTTTGATGACATTGATTAAACTTCTTGTTTATTGGATATTTGACTTGTGATTAAATATCATTTAGGTGGACAAAATGATATCCTCTTGGCAGTAGAATCTTTCTGAGTTACTAGTGTTTGCATGTTGTCTTAGGTTGGGTTCCTTTGGGAAGCAAAAATCAACAGACACGTATTTTAGGGAAAGGCTCACTAGCTTATAGGTCAAACCTCAAAAACAAGTATCTGGGGATGCAAAGTCCAAGTCTTTAGTAGCAGACAGGCAGGACCTCAGGCTGCTGGCTTTGACGGTCCAGAGGCAATACATACAAGGTGGTTTTTGGGGAAACAGCATCACAGACAGCTGACTTTGGAGACTGCTAACTTCTGGATTCAGAAACTGGTATGTCTGTAGGTGATTTTTGGGAAGCAAAGTGGCTGACTTTGGAGATCCGTCCAGCATTGGCATGTACTACAAGTCACTGGTTCAAGTCTGGAGAACATGAGCCAAATATTAGATGTAGGAAATGTTTTCATATTGTTGTTGGTGCTTAGATGTCCTCTTTGGAGAAAGTTCTGATTATATCTTTTGTTTATTTTATGATGAGTTGCCTATTTTTTTTTTAATTTACCTGAACATTTGTTGTTGTTGTTATGTGCCGTCGAGTCGCCTGTGACTCATAGCGACCCTCTGTACAACAGCCCTAAACTCCGCTCTGTCCTGTGCCAGTCGCACTGTCTCTGACACTCCCATCCCAATTGTCCCAGTCACTGAATCAATCCACCTCATAGAGGGCCTTCCTCTCCTACGCTGTCCCTCCACCCTCCCAAGCATGATGTCCCTCTCCAAGGACCGGTCTCTCCTCACAACATATCCAAAGTATGTTAGACGGAGCCTCAGAATCCTTGCCTCCAAGGAGCCACCCGGTTTAACCCTTTCCAGGACAAATCTGTTTGTTTTCCTAGCAGTCCATGGTATTCTCAATACTCTTCTCCAGCACCACAGCTCACCTGAACATTAAATTTTTTTTTAAAATTATTTTTTGTGTGTGTGTACCGTCAAATTGGATCTGACTGGTACAACAGGAGATTGCCCCTTCTTCTCCAGCAGAGCTTCTGGTGGATTTGAACCATGTACCTCTGGGACCGTAGTGCAGCTTCTTTCCATTAGGCCACCAGAGCTCCCATTACCTGGACATTTAATGGAGGAAAGGAGAAGAGTTGTTCTGCATTTGTTCTTAAAGCAAATTCATTTGAAAGATAGTGAATGATTATCATAAGTCAAATGCACTGATCCATCTGATATTCAGCCCATGAAACCAAGGCTTTCTTTTTCTAAAGTCGTTGTTGTTGATTGAGTTAGAGTTCGGCACCACTCATAGTGACCCTATGAACAAAAGGCCGGAAGCCTTTCTATAGCTATCGATATTTATCAAAGTTTGTAGAGTTTCTAGAGGCATGTTGTTTAGGAAGTTGATGCCACTCCTCCTTCCAAACCTGTCTTAAACTGGGAGCAGCACCAAACACTGTCCACCGTTAACCGTTACAGCATTGACACCCCAGTGGCACAAGGTTCAGCATCACAGCAACCCCAGGTTACCTCAGTAGAGCATATTGACAGAAGAGTGCTGTACCATTAAGAAGAATGTTGACCCTACCCTAAAATAAAATGCCAGTAACTTCCAAAGATTTTATGGAAATAGTACAATTCATCTTTGTTTTTCCCGTTTCTTCAAGCAAACACATAAATGCAGGTAAAGGAGATGAAACATGACAACTAGAGAATCTAACCTAGAAAATAATACTAAATAACCTTGTCGTTGTTGTTAGGTGCCGTCGAGTCATAGATGACTCATAGCGACCCTATGAACGAAAGGCCTGAGCACTGTTCGTACATATAGTTTCCAGAGGCAAGCCATTTCGGAAGTGGATGCCGCTTCTCCTTCCAGGCTTGTTTTAGTCGGGAAGCTCCAGCCAACACTGTCCACCATGGGTACCCATTACCATGATTGGCACATCACTGTCACAGTGTTCAGCATCACAACAACCACGAGTTACCTCTGTACAGCAACGCACAGACCACCTAGTGCTATACCACCTAGAAGAATGTTTGACAGGAAAATTTGAAATCTTACAAAACATAAATATTTCTGCTAATATGAATCTTTAAAACAAAGAATTAGTATTTTTCTTTTTTTCAAGTTATCCTTCTGTTTTTATAATAATAGTCTTATACAACATTTTTCCTTATGAGACTGTCTTAGTTCACTCAGCATATTGCTCTCAAGCCTCTCCCAAGTTGTGTAGTATTTTTTGAAATTGTTGCTCCTGAGTTCTGTGTAGTATTCCGTTGTGTGCACTACAGTTTATTTCTCAGTTCATTCTATTGTGGTTGGACATTTGGGCTGTTTCCATTTTCTTGCAGTGGTGCATAATGCTGCTATGAAGACTGGTGTACAAATCTCTGTTTCTGTTTCTTTTTTTTCTCACCCCCCTTTTTTATTTATCATTAATTTTAATGAATGTTTACAGAGACTTTGGATTTCCATTCCAAAGTTTGTTGTTGTACTTTTCTCCCTGCCCACCCCTCCCCAGTTCGCTCTTCTCTTTGTAAAGTAAAAGAAAAATTCTTTTCATTGTTATATCTTTCCCCCCAAGTCCATGACGTAATTCCTAATCATATATTCCTTTTAAACAGTTCTCTCCCTCATCTGTTTCAATGCAGTATACATAATTTATCCCATCTTTCTCAGTCTCCCCCCAAACCCGATGTCAGTCCTGTTTTACCAGAGGCACTATGCAGTATTTGTCGTTTTGTGTCTGAGATATTTCACTCAGCATAATGTCCTCCAGGGTCACCCATTTTTTATTATATTTCATGAGTTCCTTGTTTTTCAAAGCAGCGTAATACTCCATTGTGTGAATATATCAGAGCTTCTCTATCCATTCGTTTGTTGATGGCCACTTAGGTTGTTTTTAACTCTTTGTGGTTGTTAACAAAGCTGCAATAAACATTAGGTGTGCATTAGATACTTTTCATATTACGTCAAGTAACAACAATACCGCTTAAAAGTTTCTGTTGAGGTAATAGGGAAGAGACTATTCAGAAAGCAATCATCTTTTCAAAATGCGCAAGGTTAAGTATTAAATGTCCTTTCATAAAAGGTAGGTTAATTGTTTATTTAGTTGTTTTCATGGAGACTAAACCAATTTTCCATACAGTCTTCTCTCTGGATTGCTACTGTACTGTGACACTGTGACATACAGACTCAAAGTGTCCCTAAACATAAGGAACAACATTTTTTTCTTTTAACTCATGATACTGGGCCATGTTTGAAAAATGGAATATTTGACATGAGTGGTCAGGTGATAGATACCAGAATGTCAGAGTTGCCTGTATTTTTATATTGAGTTTGTTGCAGATCTCTATAAATTTTAGAGATTAATGGGTCAAGGTATTTTGAACTATAAACAGAAAGTATTAAAATATAGTTAAACATAACTAGTAACACAACTCTTTAAATCATAAATTTGTTCACTGAGACTTAAGAAATCTTACTGTGCTTAATCTGTGAGTGTTCCTAGTGATGAAAATATTATGTAGTTTAGCCTTCATTAAAGAGAATCAACTGAAGAGACTTCTTTGATTACTTCAGACTTGTTATATGGCATTAAGTTGTATACAACTAATAGCCACACTATGAACAACAGATATGAACCCTGTCCTGTGATATCCTCATCATCTCTGACATGGTCAAATCCATTGTTGGCTGTTGCTGTGTTAATCTATCTTTTTTAGGGTCTTCTTTCTTTTTTTTAATATCAGTATTTTAAAATTTTGTTTGTAACGAAAGTTTACAGAAAACTTGAATTTCCATTCATTTATTATTGCACAAGGGTCTTCCTTTCTTATACTGATCTTCTGCCTTTCCAGGCATAATGTTTTTTTCCCCCCAAGAAATAGCTCCTTTTAGCAGCATGCTCAGAGTTTGTGAGACAAAGCTTCCCCCCCCTCCCTTTACCTTCAGAGAGCCCTTTGGCTGTACTTTTTTTCAAGACATCTATTTGTTCTTTTGGCAGTCCATGGGATAGTTAATACTCTTCTCCAACATCATAGCTCAAAGACATTGATTCTTCTGTCATTCTTAGTCACTGCAGTTCAGACATAGTATGAGAGCAATACCTTTAGGAATAAATTTTTTTTTCTATAATTATATTTTATGAATTTTCATAAACATTTACAGAGATTTTGGGTTTCCATTCATTCATTGTTGCACTATTCTCTCTACCCTCCTCCCAGTTTGTTCTTGTCCAAATGCCACAGTGCTTGTCAAAGCCAGTTCTGATTAATCTTCTTTGTCAGTGTGTCCTTTGCCATCACTCCTCCCTGAGAGAGACTTCACCCTGAGTCATAAGGAAAAGGGGATGGCGTATTCTCTTAGCTACTTCCTGCTGAAAAGGGACACTGTGGGTTTCAGGGTGAAGGTCTTCTCTCACTACTCTAAAGGGCCCCTTTGGCAGTAGGAAACACATAGACTATTATGGAGATTGATTTTGGAATTTAGATGCACTCTTATTGATTGTGCTTGGCCGTACATGTTCATATCGTTGAAGATGTATCATGGGGGTGTTGCAACCTAGAAGACACAAATTTGACTAACAAGTTATAAGTACATGAGTCAAAAATTATGGAAAAGTAAAAGAAAAGATTCTTTCATTGTTTTACAAACCCTCCCCCAGGTCCCCTCCACCATGTAGCCCTCGCTCTAGTCTCCTGTGATGACAGAAATACCTAGTTATATATCTCTTTTAAACAGTTTTCTCCCTCCTCTGTTTCAGTGCAGTATAC